GTTGGCCGACATTTAGGCAATTGATAAGCAACTAGTTTGATAATGTTTTTTAAATTTAGATGCCAAAATTTGTTCCTGAATCTCAAGTAAGAGTATCTGATGCTTTTCTTCATTGTACACAAACTGTATATAAAAGATGGACGACACGGCACCACTTCCTGCCACTATGCAAAAGTGAAGCCAAAATATCAGCAATATGGGGATGGCCATCTTACTTTTGTGATGTATTTGGCAATCCAGTTCTGCACAGTAGTGACCAGAGGTGGAGTTGTGGTATCAGACCTTCAATCAAATTTGTCAATCACCTGAAATAGACCCCTTTTTATAGTTTTAAATAACTTATTTAAAACAAACTTACCAGAAAAATGACTACGTGTACACACATCAGTGTGATGGTATCTACCTAAAAGGACAGAAGTCAATTTTAGGAAGCATGTATTTGAGTTGTGTTTTGAGTTTTTAGTTTGGCTTACATTCTATTCACTAACATGGAGGGGCCGGGGTATATGACCTGTACTGCAAACAGCCACCAGGGACGATGGCTTCACCTCTGGCAGCTGTCGCATCGTCCATCTTAATATACAGTCTGTGGCTGTATATCACAATGAACAAAACACAAACTGCTCAGGCCATAAAGACCAACAGCTTAAGGCGGACGTGCATGAGTATGTACAGTGGATTTAAAAAGTCTACGCACCCCTGTTAAAATGCCAGGTTTCTGTGATGTAAAAAAACGAGACCAAGATAAATAATTCCAGAACTTTAGCCACCTTTAATGTGACCTATAACTTGTACAACTCAATTGAAAAACTGAAATCTGTTTTTCAGTTGGAAGTAAAAATAAAAAACTAAAATAATGTGGTTGCATTAGTGTGCACACCCTTAAACTAATATTTTGTTGAAGCACCTTTTGATTTTATTATAGCACTCAGTCTTTTTGGGTATGAGTTTATCAGCAATGCACACCTTGACTCTGCAATATTTGCCCATTCTTCTTTGCAAAAATGCTCCAAATCTGTCAGATTGCGAGGGCATCTCCTATGCACAGCCCTCTTCAGATCACCCCACAGATGTTCAATCGGATTCAAGTCCGGGCTCTGGCTGGGCCATTCTAAGACTTTTATCTTGTTCTGGTTAAGCCATTCCTTTGTTGATTTGGATGTATGCTTGGGGTCATTGTTGTGCTGAAAGATGAAGTTCCTCTTCATCTTCAGCTTTCTAGCAGAAGCCTGAAGGTTTTGTGCCAATATTGACTGGTATGTGGAACTGTTCATAATTCCCTGCAAAAACAACACTGCACATCACCAAAAGAACACCATACCCACAGTGAAGCATGGTGGTGGCAGCATCATGCTTTGGGGTTGTTTTTCTTCAGCTGGAACTGGGGCCTTAGTCAAGGTGGAGGGAATTATGAACAGTTCCACATACCAGTCAATATTGGCACAAAACCTTCAGGCTTCTGCTAGAAAGCTGAAGATGAAGAGGAACTTCATCTTTCAGCACGACAATGACCCCAAGCATACATCCAAATCAACAAAGGAATGGCTTAACCAGAACAAGATAAAAGTCTTAGAATGGCCCAGCCAGAGCCCGGACTTGAATCCAATTGAACATCTGTGGGGTGATCTGAAGAGGGCTGTTCATAGGAGATGCCCTCGCAATCTGACAGATTTGGAGCGTTTTTGCAAAGAAGAGTGGGCAAATATCGCAGAGTCAAGATGTGCATTGCTGATAAACTCATACCCAAAAAGACTGAGTGCTGTAATAAAATCAAAAGGTGCTTCAACAAAATATTAGTTTAAGGGTGTGCACACTAATGCAACCACATTATTTTAGTTTTTTATTTTTACTTCCCACTGAAAAACAGATTTCAGTTTGTTTTCAATTGAGTTGTACAAGTTATAGGTCACATTAAAGGTGGCTAAAGTTCTGGAATTATTTATCTTGGTCTTGTTTTTTTACATCACAGAAACCTGGCATTTTAACAGGGGTGTGTAGACTTTTTATATCCACTGTATATACAGTGGCAAGAAAAAGTATGTGAACCTTTTGGATTTTCATGGTTTTCTGCATTAATTTGTTATAAAGTGTGATCTTATCTTCATCTAAGTCAAGAGTTTGACATCAAATTGACAAATTTAATGTGCCTAAAATTCTGATCTGACAAAAAAATTCTGATCTTTCATGTTTTTATTGAGAACAACCATAAAAAATATATGTGAACCCTTGAGTTAATGACTTCAAAACAGCTAATTGGAGTCAGGTGGTAGCATACCTGGAGTCTTGTTAAGAAAATGAGTTTGGAGAAGTGGACTAGAGCTACTTTGACTGATAAAAACCACTGAAACCTTTTGAGTTTGCTCCAAACAAGAAGAATACGCTTATGTGAGCTATGCCTTGCTAAAAAGAGTTTTCAGAGGATCTGTGATAAAGAATTGTTGATTTACATAAAGCTGGAAAGGGTTAAAGTGATTTCAAAGACTTGAGAAATTCACCAGTCTACAGTTAGGCAAACAATCTACAAATGGAGATACTCTGGGGCTACTCTACCAAGAAGTGGGCGCCCAGTCAAAATGACCCCAAGAGCACAACGAAGACTTATCAATGACTTAAAGAAACAACCTCGAGTGACAGCCAAAGATTTGAAGGCATCATTGGAACTGGCTAACATCTGTGTTCATGAGTCTACAGTGCATAAAACACTGAACAAGCAGGGTGTCTATGGCAGGACACCACGAAGGAAGCTGCTGCTTACTAAAAGGAACATTGCTGCACACCTGAAGTTTGCGAAAGAGCACACTGGCACTCCACAGTGGTTTCTTCTTTTCTCTCTCCTCTGTCCACTCACCCCAACCGGCAGAGGCAGAAGGCTGCCCACCAAGAGCCAGTGTCTGTCGAAGGTTTCTTCCATTAAAGGGAGTTTTTCCTCCCCACTGTCGCCAAGTGCTTGCTCAAGGGGGATTTGTTGGGTTTTCCCTCTGTAATAATAGTGATAACAGTAAGGTCTAGACCTTACTTTGTAACTTGTCCTGAGATGACTCTTGTTGTGATTTGGCGCTATACAAATAAAATTTGATTTTATTTGGCATTGGCAAAATGGTTTGTGGATTGATGAAACTATTTGGAAAGAACATGCAGTACTACATCTGGCGTAAAAAGGGCACTGCATATCATCATGAAAACATCATCCCAACCGTAAAGTGTGGTGGAGGAAACATCATGATTTGGACCTGCTTTGCTGCATCAGGGCCTGGCCAGCTTGCAGTTGTTGAGGGGAAGATGAATTCCTAAGTGTATCAAAAAATTCTTCAGGATAATGTGAGAATGTCTGTATGTCAGCTGAAACTCTGAAGAAGTTCGGTGATGCGACAGGACAATGACCCAAAACACCAGAGCAAGTCCACAACAGAATGGCTTCAAAAAAAAAAACAAAATCTGCCTTTTGGAGTGGCCATGTCAGAGCCCAGACCTCAACCCAATAGAGATGCTATGGAATGACTTTAAGAGAGCCATACATGGGAGACATCCAAAGAGTATGACGGAGCTAAAGCAGTTTTGCAGGAAGAATGGGCTAAAATTCCTCCTGAACAATGTGCAGGTCTGATCCACAGCTACAGGAAGTGCCTGGGAGAGGTTATTACTTTTTCCACTAACATTTTGAATGTTGAATGAGTTCAATAAAGACATGAAAGATCCTTTTTTTTTTTTTTTTGTACATATTTGTCAGTACTCTTGACTTGGATGAAGATCAGATCACATTTTATGACAAATTAATGCAGAAACCCATGAATTTCCAAAAGGTTTATATACATGTACTGTATATGTTAAGTGGAGTGAGCTGCAGAGAGCTGATGCCCACCTGATAATGATGAGGATGGTGGTAGTTTGAGCTTCATTAGCAGTGCTGCTCTTGCTCCTGCAGGTGGAGAGGATTGTCGATAAGAGGACGAATAAGAAGGGGAAGGTGGAGTACCTGGTCAGGTGGAGAGGTTATGGTTCAGAGGAGGACACCTGGGAGCCTGAGAGCCACCTATCCACCTGTATGATCTACGTCCATGAGTTTAACCGCAAGTACCCTGAACGGCAGAGAGAAAACACGTTGCTGCGTTCCACCCGCAGCTCCCCCAGCCTCCATTGTAGCTCCACCCACAGACCACTCTGCAGGCCGCCACCCACCACCGCAGTTCGCAGTGACATCAGTGGAGGTTCAACTGGAGACTGTAACCAGGTGAAACCTCCTGTCAGTCAGCTTCACCTGCCCCCTGTTGGACTGACCCCCCAGGCCTCTGTCAGCTCCCTGCAGTCCCATTCAGCAGTGGCCTGATGTCGGCAGCTCCAGCCAGCTCTGCCCGCCGCAGTGTGGATCTGTCCAAGACTGGAATCAAGATTCTGGTTCCCAAGAGTCCCATGAACAGCCGTCTGGACTCGGAGGAATCTCCCAGTGAGGCAGCCCACAGCTTGGAGGCTGGAGCTCATGAAGCTCACCTGGTCCCACCTGAGGTTGCCCTGCTGGAGAAACCCACGGGAGTCCAGCTGGGGCCTGGAGAGGAGAGGGCACGCATGGGAACCAGACCCCGTACCCAGAACCCCCTGCCCCCATCCCGAGTGCCCATCACTCCTGCTGCCGTGCGCTCCCTCAGCGGTGCAGGTAAGATCTATTTTCACATAGCTTGCACATATCTGACTGACTGACAGAGCTTGTTGGATGACATTTGCAGCAAAAGCTGGTCCTGGGGGCCACTGTATAAAAGCAGGATAAAGGATTAAGTTGGGATTTTCCAATTATCCCAGCTGATTTTAACCCTGACTCAGGTGCATGAAAGCAGGTTAAAATAAGATAAATTACTGTGGAGATTTATTCTGTGCAGCTAGCCTGCTCTAGACCAGGCTAACAGCCAGGCTTGATTAATCCTAGTCTTTTTTTTTTGTTGTTGTTCTGTCAGTGGTCACTCTGATCAGAAACCCATGAATTCTTTTACAGTTAATCTGTAAATGTGATGGTCATTGTTACTGATTTTGTTAATGAAGACTGCAGTTCGAAGTTTGATTTTTTTTTTTAAAGGAAGTGCCAGAGCCACCTCCACTTGTTGAGGAGACTGAGGTCCTTTGGTGTGCACGGGGCACTGCTTGAGACATTTTATGATTCTGTGGTGGCATCTGCAGTTTTTTATGCTGTTGTGGGTTGGGCAGGAGGTAGCACGATCAGGGACAGAAAGAGACTCAACAAACTGGTTAAGAGAGCTGGTTTTGTCCTGGACTGCTCTCTGGATCACATTGAGGAGGTGGCGGACAGAAGGATGCTGGTAAAACTAACATCCATCATGCATAACCCTTCCCATCCCCTGCACCACACAGTGGTGGTTCTGAACAGTTCTTTTAGCACGAGACTGTTACATCCCCAGTGTAAGAAGGAGCGTTAACGCAGGTCATTCCTCCCCACAACCATCAGACTGTACAACACATCACTGCAGTGATAAGATAGGTAAAATTATGAGGGACTATGTAATAATCTACTGCGGTCAATATTTCAGCTCCTTGGGGTGAAATGCATTGTAAATAGGCTCATGTGTAATATCTTGTTCCTGATCTCTCTCAAATACTGTACATTGCCCTGCTTTAGCTATTTTGAGTTGCTCAGAGAGCCTTATGGCTGAAACACAGGTTTCTCTCCCCCATTGTGGGATTAATTGTGTGAGTAATATTCGATTGTTCTTGATTTCCTGGTTGTTTAGTCTCTACTGCTGTTCCAGATTCTCTCCAGTGCTGCTCAGCCCTGTTATTAGGTGCCTTTGATTTGCTGATTTGTGCTGTGTAAAATGTAACGTTGTGATGACACTACTTTTATAATCCTTGTATGTATCGGTCTTAATGCTTTGTTACCTTTATGTAACTGTTTATTTTAAGACCAAGTGTTCTTTGTTACTACGTACTTGTGTACGCATGCGCCGTGCAGAGTGGCAGCAAGTTACAGCAGCTGTGTCCTCGTGTTCTTTTCTGTGTTTTTATAAAGTCCTGTTCTTATGGTGTTATGTTGGTATGTTGGTTGTTCTCTATTGCTGCTGTAACACAGAAATTTCCCTACTGTGGGATCAATAAAGTACTCTACTCTATTGCGGCTGTTGAGGTGATTATAGACGGAGGAAAAAGGCATCTTCAATGAAGTCGGTATACGCTACTGTATGTGCTTTTCATCCTTTACAATGGCCTGTTTTTTTTTTTTTGTTTTTTTTTTAAGTCATAGGCTATATTTTTGTGTGTTTGTGCATAGGTTTCTAAGTACTTTAAAAAAAAATTTGAGTAATCTCTTTACCTAATCAACATGCTTGTTGACATGTACATACGCATTGAGAGCCGCTGTACCAGAGTCAAAATTCCTCATTTGTCTAACACACATCCAGTAAAGTTGATGCTGATTCTAATTCTATATGGGTCATTCCACAAACAGTGGAAGTGCTGTCATTGAGCTGAGAACACCAATATCCTTAAAGTTGACAAATACTTTAAAATGCCAGGTTCAAGGAACTGGCTTGCTTGATCATCAGCCTACGTGAACCTGGAGCCACATTGGTCACTTTTCATTTAGAATTTTCTTTCATGAATTACTTCACTCGCATTTACATTAATATGACATAAGCTGTATTAAATAGAACACTGAAATAAAAATAGCCAATTAATGTCAAAGAGCTCAATCACCCCACATAAGACACTGTATTAAGCTCTACTTGTTGTGGATTTATCAAGTTTATAAGTTGCTGACAAGACATTTTAGGTCTGTAAGAAGGAACATGCTACATATCGCCCAGATTCCTCCGTTTGTAGAATGAACCATATTTATGAATTTAGGTTGTGGATTAGTGGTTGTAATCCATCTTCATGGTGTAGTTCTTGAATAACCTATGAGTTCAGCTAAGAACAGGGGTTAGAAAATGTATATTTTTAGGAAAATTAACACATTAAGTCAGTCTGCTGCCACCTGCCATGCTTGTTCTGGATGTTTTATTACCGTGGCCGCTTTTCCATTTTTACAGATTGTGCTTGAATTCCCCATAATATGCTGCACCTGTCTTCGATGAATACATTTAAATTGAGCTTCCTACCTAGTTACTAACGACAAACACAGAGGTGGCATTGGTGAACATAACCATGTTTGATTGGCATTCTGTCTGCTCCAGGTAACTCGGTGGTAACGGAGGCTGTCGTGGCCAACATGATGTCAGGTGTGCAGAGTGCTGTTGCCGGGGCAACCGTTACAACAGGGAAACGTCGTCTGGAGGAACGTTCTGCTTTTGATAAACGTCTGAGGTTCAGTGTTCGACAGACAGAGAGCGCTTATCGTTATCGCGACATTGTGGTGAAGAAACAGGATGGGTTCACTCACATCCTGCTATCTACCAAGAGCTCTGACAACAACACGCTCAACCCTGAGGTGAGGCCATGCCCCATAAAACCTCATTTCTTTAACCTCACCATCAGTTCCACCACCATTCTTCAAAGAAACAGTTCCATGCCTTCCAGCTGTGACATCACCTGTCCAAACACACCTGAACACACTCGGGTTAAACTGTTGTCATGGTTACAAACCTGAGTACCCCTGTTTTCTCTCCTCCTCCTCATTAGGTGATGAAAGAGATCCAGAGCGCCATGGCAACGGCAGCCTCTGATGACAGTAAGCTGGTGTTGCTCAGTGCTGTCGGCAGTGTCTTCTGCTGCGGTCTTGACTTTCTGTATTTTATCAGACGCCTGACAGATGACAGGAAGAAGGAGAGTATCAAGATGGCTGAAACCATCAGGTAATGCCTCCTGGAGACTCAAGGATGCCATGGCAGCACTGTGTGGTGTAATCACTAAGGTTGAAATGTTGACCCTTGACCTCTGTGTTTTCGCCCTCAGGACCTTTGTCAACACCTTCATCCAGTTCAGGAAGCCAATCGTGGCGGCAGTGAATGGGCCCGCACTGGGCCTCGGTGCTGCCATCCTGCCACTCTGCGATGTGGTGTGGGCCAATGAGAAGGCCTGGTTCCAGACACCATACATGTCCTATGGCCAGACACCCGACGCTTGCTCATCCTTCACCTTTCCCCGCATCATGGGCCTCGCTTCGGTAAGTCTACTGCATATTTTACCTACATTTACATTACTGCTTTGTTTACCTGCATTTAGCTCACTTTATTTACCTTCAGCTAGTACCACCCAGACTTACCCTCTGATCGCTCATTGTGTTCTAGGCTAACGAGCTGCTGCTGAGCGGCAGGAAATTGACGGCTCAGGAGGCATGTTCTAAGGGTTTGGTGTCTCAGGTTCTGTGGCCAGGAACCTTCACACAGGAAGTGATGCTGCGAATCAAAGAGCTGGTGGCAGTTGACTCCCTGGTCAGTGTACCTATACACACAAACACAGTGCCACTGTTTTCTTCTTCTTCTTCACTCTGTGTCAACACTGGTTCCACTCCTTGTCCTGCAGATTCTGCGGGAGTCCAAAGCCCTGATGAGGAACACCAGCCGCAGTGCCTTGGAGCAGGCCAATGAGCGCGAGTGTGAAGCCCTGAAGAGAGTCTGGGGCTCCTCACAGGGAACAGACTCCATCCTGCAGTACTTGCAGAGGAGAACCGAGCTCTGCTAGGACATGTACCTGGACTGGTCTGATGACGCCACCTTTTTGAGCTGGCAGCAGACTCAGCAGATTTGACACAAAACAGAGACTGCTTCCTTCTTTTGATGTTTAACTTTGACTTGTACTTTCAGCAGAATGTTGAGAGAACATTTGACATTTCAGTCCTCTGGTTCTGTTCACAATCACAGGTTTCGGGTGTTTCAGATGGATATCATTTTCCTCCCTCTGTCCTGAGGATAGGACCAGGATGATGAATTCTTGTTCAATAGAGAATGTGAAGGTATGTCACACCGTGTTGAAGGCTGGGACAGGGGCGCCATTTTGGGAGATACACACTGTATTTACCTGGATACATTCTTGTTTTGTTTGGCTTAAAAGTTGCTAAAGTCATTTAGATTTCACTTTACTGACGGTGGTAATTTAGAATAGATAACCTTAGCTGACTGTAGTCGACTCGTAGTGGACCTAGAGATCTACGGGAGCAACAGACTGAAAAATGACTCTACACCCTGGTTTGACGGGAGTTGATGCTAGCGAGCAGCTGTCAGCAGATGACTCAGACACTGCAGATGAATCCATTTCTGTCCTGTCTGTGCTCAGACCAAACACTGAATTGGACATAGTTGAACCATCATTTACTGTATGTAGCTGTATGGGATCGTATTTATTTTCTAACTTACACATGTATGTAGCATGTATCTCTACAATGGATAATGACGACTCAACTCCCAAAATGGCACATTTACCTAAAATTCAACACAGCGAGATGACAACTTCACGTTCTCTACGAACAAGATGCCCCCCCCCCCCATTTCGAGTGTTTGAGCCATGCTAGGCTAGCATTCCCCCCCACTTCCAGTCTTTATGCTAAGGCTAGGTGTGTGTGTGTGTGTGTACTGGTATAGATGAAAGTAAAAGTTCAGACTGACAGAAAACAGGAGGATCTGTGTTAATGTTGAATCGTTACTTTAAATGGAGGCTGACCGCCGACCATCACCCAGAATTCCCTCTGATGACTGAACATGTTGGCATTAACAGGAGTAGATGCTGACCTTTGACCTTCACGTTACCACTAGCGGACTGGGTCGCTTTTTCTAATCTGGATATAAACCTGCAGCGCCATCTTCGCTAACAGGTAAACCATCAGCCTGCAGGGGGTGCTGACATGGCATCATGCTGGCTAAATATTACTCCAGCAGTGTGAGACTGATGGATTATGGGCAAATATGGACACTTCAAACAGCAGTTTGTGGGAGTTCCTTGTCATGTGATCACGTGTCCAGGCCAGCTGACTGGATTTCCCAAGCGTTTCCCAAATTAAACATGATTTCTGTCATGTGAATACATCTTTTATCCTACTGGCACCAGCTAGTTAATATAGCATAAAGACTACAAAATCTTTGTTTCCAGCCTTTATGCTAAGCTAACTAGCTACTGGTTGTAGGCTGGTATCAGTCTGAGCTCTATACTCCTTTAAACTGTGTATAGTTATTCTCAAACAATCCAAAACTATGAGTTTTAACAACAGGAACTTTATAACAAACTTCTTTTTGTACAAAATCAGGCACAGAGATTCATTAATATAAAAACTAAATATTACAGAAACTCTGCTCACACATTGTTTTCTGGTCTAAATTTAGTGATGAAATGTAAGCAATTAATAAATATAAGCACTCTGACAATTTAACTGATGTCTGGCTTTCTGTGGCCACAGTTATGATTAATGAAAGGTTTATCAGAGAAGACTTACACATCTTTCATTCATGGTTGTAATTAATTTAACTACTTAGACAGCAGCTTTTGTCCCCGGTAGGCTAATGGTTAAGGGTTAGAGTCAGGGTTGCGTCAGAAAGGGCATCCGGCGTAAAACACGTGCCAAATGTCAACATGCGAGTCATCAGTGTGATGATTCGCTGTGGCGGGAAAAGCCAAAAGTGACTTTCTACTTAGACACCAGCTTTTAAAAGTCATTCTTTTCTACATGTGAACATTTGCCATGATTTTATTAATAACCAATAACCGGAGCTCAGTCAACAAAAACATCATTCTGATAAGATCTCAATTTGAGGCCTGGGGCCCCACAGACTGCACATGCTAACAGTTTATCTCCTCAAGTCTCAAACTTACTTAATTGGTTGGTTGGTCATATATTTTTCAGTCAAACTGCAGACATCGAGGACACCAGCAAGACATCACTTTTGTTTGTTTTAAAGCTATGTCTCTATCAGAAGATGTCCCCATGATGTCGAGGTAAAGGACACGTTTCAGAGTCAGGGGGATGTGACCCGACTTGGAGTAAACCTGATTTGTTGTGAGGATGAAGTTACAATCTCCTCTTGGTGCAACCTGTAACTGAGATCAATATAAATCTTCCTGTCTCAAGTTTGTCTAGATAAACTTTAAGGGTTCTTAATTTAAATTAAAATCAGCTGTGAGGCTTCATGTTTCCATAGAAAATGGTTCTGGTTTGGTTTCATCTTAAACTGATGCTGGCTTTAAACATTTAAGCTTGATATTACTTTAAAAACTAAACTAAAAATTTTGTTGATTTGGCAGTTTGATGTCCAGAAGCTCAGCATGCTTCTGCAGCGGTTTAGTTGTTTCCCAGCAGAACGGATGCATCTGCAGCTCATTTAGATGGCAACACAACAGCATCTCTCTCTCTGCCTCATTCATTTTAATTAACTGTGGTAAACATGTACTATTAATACTCATTGTATGTCAAAAATAAGACCAAGTGTAAATCTTGCGTCTCTGTTTCATTGCTCTGTCCTGACCGAAGTAGCTCACCTGTTCAGGTGTGTTCCTTTGACATCACAGCTTTGGTATTTTTGTGTCTTTCTTCATTCAAACTTCCTGTGATCTTTTTAAAGTCCACATACAAACCCAACTCAGGGATCAGTGTTTTTATCTAATTTAGACCAAAGCCAGTAAAAAAACAAAAAAAAACATCTGAACTCAAATTCAAAACCTTTGTGCACATTGACTAATTTTCTGAACTGATCTGAAACAGGTTTCTACAACAAAACCTGATTGACCTAAAAGTAAGAACAAACAGCGTGACACTGAAATGCCTGTGACAGCTGTCATCCTCATGGTGGACAGGTGTCATGTGCTCCTGTGGCCAGGTGGAGGCGGTAGGTGTGATCATGGAACAGTAGCAGGCTGTAGAAGTTCTCTCCTCCTCTTAAGACTCCGTGTTCATGGACCCCCCATGATATCGGACTGTCAACAAAACCATGAACTGTCATGGACACCCAGGACTCTAACCGAGGCTGTTCCAGGTAACACCTGCAGGACAGGTAAGTAAATGATACTCAATTTATTTAACAGCCTACTGCTCTTACTTTGTTCATTCCAACAGACAGTTTATAAAATCTATTAATTCTGTCATAGACCCCGAAACACCTGAAAAATCTCCACCTGTGAAACTACATCATGTCCAAGCCCCTGATGATACGAGTGGCGACAGAAATATCTCAGATGTCCCTCCAGAACGAACCTTCATAAATCCACTTAGAAACGGGGATTCTCAGCCAGATTCTGCAGCCTCTTCTCTGGTTTCTAAGTTTCCTTCAGTCCTGCAGTGATCCAGTGACAGCTGTGTGTACATCTAAGGGGGTCTAAGTGGTGGACATACAGGGATGTTTTCTGGAAGCTGGTTTCATTTTGGATCTGGTTAAAGTAGCTTAAATACCTGGATGAGGTGTCAAGCGGTGGTGGAGGAAGTACTCATAGTAAAAACAGAAACACCACAGTGTACAAATACTTTGAGTAAAGGTCCCGCATTGAAAATGTGAGTTAAGTACAAAAGTATTGGCATCCTCAGTCCAGAGGAGTATCAAAAAACACGTGGGAAAGCTGATCACTGTGATCAGTGATCCGATTGATTCGTTTTGAATATTTACTGGTGTAGTAATCTTTTTATGCAAGCTTGCATAAAACTTTAAGAGTGCACTCAGGTTGATTTTGTGGTTAAAACATCATTTCAAGGGTTTAAAATATTATTTCATATTTGAACTGGGTAAATATGTGGTATATGTTTGTTTAATACACAACCTTGAACTGTGTTTAGTGTGTGTGTTTATTGTTTCTACACTGTGAAACAGTCCCTGGAAAAATTGTCCATAAGTTACAAGTAACAAAGTACGTACATATTCTGAGTTATTTGAAGTAATATCATTTCTGGGAAATCTCCAATTGATGTTTTAAAGGTGAGGATCATACTGAACCCTAGACAAAGTTTCTTACATTGGAATGTCTCTTTTGCCAATTTGTTTTTTTGAGTTTAGAGGGGTATGCGCTAAGTAGCTATTCCCTTACTATAACGAGCCGGGTGGCAAAAGGGTTACACTGGTTTAAACAAGCGCTGCTGAAGCAGCAAGAGGAGGCCAGGAAGAGAGAGATGTAGCAGGAGGGCAGCAGCTAACATGCTGTGGTGGGAGAGCTAGTGCAGAAGGGACAGGTCAGATAACTGCACAACAGCACACAAATAGTATAGTACACTAATTCTGTGCATTGTTGTATTTGAATGCTTTAGTTTTATGTAACTCAGTATATGAGACGTTTCCATTAACACAGTAAGCAACAATCATTATGCTATTAACAAGAGCGACCTACTACAGTAAAAGACTAACACATTTTTGATGGATCCAAACTATCACCTGCTTTTCGTTGAGAAAATCCCAAAAATGTCAATATCACACACCCCTAATCAGGCATGTACTTTATTAAAATCCTTGACTGAATGTGCTTAGTTACATTCCACCACTGGTATCAGGTGTTGATCTCACCTGATCTCCTGGATGAGCCGGTGTACATCCTGGGGAAGCAGCATTCCACAGATGGTGACTCTCAGCGATCGACTCAGCGTCGTTTTTGGTTCTGGACACACCAGCGAGGACAGGAAGCTGCTGGACAAGTTCTCGCTGAAACCACAAAAGAAGTGTTTTCAGATTCCTATTTGACAGGTATGGCTGGGTGCAGGCAAAATGAGATGGGTCATCACCAGCTGATGTTGGCATCCACAGCTCCGAGCCACTCCAGGAAGCTGTGAGGGTCACATGACTGCAGGTCGGGACTGGACAAGTGTGTCAGAGTGTGACTGCTGACCTCAGGTCTGTGCTCTGACCAATCATAACGAGACAGGAGGGGCTGCAAAGAAGCTCCGCCCCCTACAGGACACAGCAGAGGATCATGGGTAGCACACAGTTCTGTCCCACCTGGATGGTAATGTATAATAATTAACCTGGATGGTGTGACAGCAGGAAGTCTGTCTTCAGGTGAAGTCGTGACCTCAGACCTGTGAGGAGTCTCTGGTAGCTTCGCCCACCAGGTGCCATGCTGCTGTCAGTCAGGTCGATAGATACTACTGCAGTACAAGTACACAGAACTGTAGTTTTTCAACATGTTGTATATTTGGGTTTCAGTCTTCCTGGAGTTCTTGAATCTGTTACTGGAGCTGGATGCACCACTAACTAAAATGAAATCTGCTGACCTGGTGCAGGTTTCTAGCCTTCATACTAGCACCCCGCTGCACATGCTCAGCAGTGTTTCCCCCACAGCCTACACTGTGATTATAAAGCTCACTTTGAGGCTGCACGTTAAATTGTGCTGAGTGATTAGATCCCTGTGTGACCTCAGTATCACATGACAATGCAGCCCTAACTCACTTTTCTTGGTGTTTTACGGATACAAAACCTCTCTGGATTGAACATTCATGATACATAGAGTAAAAACAGATTGTTTTGTTGGAGATGCAAGTAGTTTTGCAGAGGTCTTGTTTGTAAAAAAATTATTTGGGCCACTGGCAATTTTGAGTTTTAATCTTATTATATACATGGCTTATACTAATCGTCCTACGATGTTTACATGTGTCCAACATCCGCCTCCTGGCAGGATGTTGAATCAACCAGTTAGCTGACACACTCAGGTAAACACATGGGGGTTTTCCCGACTGTGTAGACTTCAGCTTTCTCTGTTGCTCTTCCTGACATTTCTCCCAATTACAGTGTTCTTAAGGGAGTTTATCTGTATGTGACTTGAGAATATAGAAAAAATTTCAAATATATAGCATAGATATATAAGCACAGATTTGTATAAGAGTGTTCAGACCAAATCTGCTGTTTGTCCTGTGGTTGAACCTGGATGGTTTCCCCTCAACTCCCAACACCTGGAAGGAGTCTTTGTCCAGAGACAGAAACAGACGACCTGTAGACAGTTACAGACAGAAATTAGTCCTGACTAGGTAGGTTTTTTTTGTTGTTGTTTTTTTTATGTGAAAGCTAACATGGTAAAACAGCATCTCTCCTCTCCATCCATCCAACTATATGCCACCACTACACATCACTAACTGCCTGTCCTCTATCTGTCTCTCCCTGTACCTTTCTGCAGATAGCCCTGGCTCTGGAGCTCTGTTTCTGATGAGCGGCCACATCAACCTGCCCAGTGTCTGATTGTTGTCTTGTTGCTTTACTTTCTTTTCTCTCTCCTCTATCCACTCATCCCAACCGGTCGAGGCAGAAGGCCGCCCACCAAGAGCCGGGCTCTGTTGGAGGTTTCTTCCTCTCTGCTGTTGCCAAGTGCTGCCCAAGCGGGATTTTCTGTGGTTTTCCTTATAACAGTGTTAGGTCTAGACCTTACTGTGTAAAGTGTCCAAAGATGACTGCTGTTCTGATTTGGAGCTATACTAACTGAACTGTAATGATGTACAGAAGTCAATTGAGTGAAGTCTATTATAAATGAATACAATTAGCTAGCATAAGATAACATTTAGCTACACCAGACTGGACTACAGCTGTCAAACCTGAATTGACCTGAGCAGGGTATTTTACTGCTTATGAATTCAACAATTCAACAAGCAAACAACCACACCTGGATGAAATACCTGTTCACGATGCCTTGGTATATATCATCATCATCATCATCATTAGCAGTGAAGAAAAGGAGAACAGTTTTTACCGTCTGGCGTCAGAGCGACACAGTTATCTTCATCTATCCTGGTCCTGTATGACAGACCATACACGCTCCCTGAAACACATGCACACAGTTAGTGTACAGGTGGGTACAGGTGTGTATCATCAGGTGTGAATCATCAGGTGTGAATACAGGTGTTACCCTGGTACACTGAGGTCTCCAGGAAGTGTTTGTCCAGCAATTCATATATGGGCAGTTTCCTGATCAGATAGAAACTGCTGAAACTGTTTAATACAGAATCCAGGTGAGAGGGGGTGGAGCTACACTCAGGAAGCAGCACAGACACCTGCACAGGTAAAACAAGTCACATGAATTTAACAAACCGAAACACCTCCCTCGGGTGATCTTAACAGCAGAGACACCAAGCCAATAGTCGGCGCTGGCCACCATCGAGTTCGCCTTCCTGGTGCGCCCCGCCCCATTGGCACTGCCAGCAGCTTTTCAGCCGATTCGACATGTTGCGTTGGCAGGTTGGATCTCGTCAGTGAGAGAGAGACCACTCTGGTTGGCTATTGAGCTTAGCCAATCAATGCACGAGGAGAGGGGGCTGGGAAAGCCCCTTCAGCCTGTCACTATAGTCTCCATGATTTCACCCATTTAGTGTAGTCTCTACTTGCTTTTCGACAACCTCCTTTCTTCTTCCACAACCAAAAGACCGAGGGCGGAGAACGGCAACGTCATTTGCAGCTTCTTATCGGACGTATTCTCCATTAAAAGTAGCTGTGTTGAATGAGAGCTGCTTGGTTTATAACTTCTGCATTCTAGCCACCTCTACACTAACTATGTCCCCCTTGTTCCCGTACCTTTCTGCAGGTAGCCCTGGCTCTGGAGTTTCATAGGCCGCGTGCGTAATTTGTTTTTGTGTTTTTAAATTTAAAATTTGTTGATATGTCTGCACAATTTTTGTGCCGCCCTCCAACTAGTCCCTGTACACCTAGTGCCGAATAGCAGTTGAGGCGGAAATAGATAACTTCTGCACATTTCTCCCAAGTATGATGTTCTTATGGGAGTTTATCTGAATGTGACTTGAGGATGTACAATACAAGTCAATACATTTTAAGAAGGTTCAGACCTGATCTGCTGTTTATCCTGTGGCTGAACCTGGACAGTTTCCCCTCAGCTCATAACCGCGAAGTGATTATTTGTTTCTGCTCATACAGTCTCTGACAGTTGCACCTTGGTTAAAGGACCGTTGTGAATGCTCTTTGCTCAACAATGTGTGAGAGACAGAGAGAAAGAGAATGCAGTGGGAAAGCAAAGTGCAACCAGCACATCAGACCTTCAAACTCTCGTTAGGTTCCCGATGAGGAAAAGCTAACGTCCCCTGTTGTGCAGAACAGCATATCGCTCTTGCTAGAAACTGAAGTGCCAGATGCAGCGAGGTAGCGTCTTATCGGCAACTAATGAGCGGT